ACGTTTGTCGATAACGAAGAGACACCAGAATTCATCAGCAGATATGAGAAGATCAGAGATCACTGGCCTGCATTTGTGGCCTACAAGACATCGGAAAAGAGTAAGAAGATGTCGGCGACAAACATGAAAAATGATGCAAAGAAGAAGCTTCACCATCGCATGGGGTCAGGTGGCTACCTCAAAGCCCGACCTAAGTGGGCCAAGGCTGAGAATGATCTGCTTGATAAAGGGATCAAACCAGAGACAATGAACTGGCCAGACCGTTGCCGGACTTGGTTCTTCAGGGCTGGCGGAACCGTGGACCCTGTATCAGGGAAATGCGTTTGGACGGACGAGCAAGTGAACATACCAGTCAAGAAGCTAAAGCACTATATCGATGCAGCGCAGCAAGGGACGTTCTTTCCAGACAGAGAGAACGACGAGCTCACAATGGACCTCGGGAATCCTGAGCACCCTGGATGGACACGAGGCATGCCAGGCTCCGTTCCGTGGAAGGCTGGTTTTTCGGACGCATGCAGTTACTAATGCCAGGAGAGGAGGAAAAAAGTGCAGCAGACCCAAATGCAGGCGCTGCACGCAAGGGTACAAGCGATAGAGGAACGAGAAGCAAATCGCAGCAAACGAACTGCCGAAGCTTCCCCCAAAGCTACCCCGCCATCTCAGTGGACAAGCAGCGTGGCTTCCACCGAGCTGCTTCAGCCGGAGCATGTCTTGACGGCTCCTGCCAGCTATCCCGTGGATGCTATCACGGAGTCTCAAAATTGCCACCTTATGACACAATGGATGAATTTGAAGGTCAAAGCGGCTGTTGGCTCTGTTTTTCCTACTGAACCCGGTGCAACTTTTCACTGTCGGCCGATTCCAGAAGGAAATGCTAGGGTTATGGTGGATGAAATAACGGAGGGATTTGAGGACCTCCAGCTTGACCACCCTAGCGGTGAAGGGGAGACTCGACTGGGTTCTGCTCTGAAGACTCCATGCCTATGGCGGAAGGAGCTCATCAACCTTCCGAACTGGACGCCTCCGCCTCCTCCTCCTCCTCCGGCAAGTCAGGGCACTCCGCCTCCTCCTCCGGCGAGTGACGATCAGGGCACTCGGCCTCCTTCCCCAGCGCATGGCGGCACTCGCCTCCTTCTCCGCCTGCGCCGGCGCGCCCGGGCAGCCAGCCTCCTCCTTCTCCGCCTCGTCAGCAAGGGCGGAAGAGACCCGCCGCCGCTCCGGCTGCTCCGGCGCGTCGTAGTCCTTCTCCTCCGCCTCGTAAGCAAGGAAAGAAGACAGCCACAACCGCTCCGTCTGCTCTGCCGGCGTCTAGCAGTACAGCCGGAGGCGGGAGGCAATACAGATTCGGTCCTTCTCTGAAGACTCCAGAGAAGTTACCATACGAGAGCACTACAAGAAATATGTCAACTTATGACCACCACTATTGGTCACTGAATGGTCATAGTTTTTCTTTTATGACCCTTTTGTGACCAAAAACAGATGGTCAAAAGCTGGCCGTCGTAAACTGAAATTAACGACCTTCTCTATGAGAAGGTCGTAGACGTTTACGACCAAAACAAAAGGTCGTTGAACCCATGACCTTTTGTTTTGGTCACTGGCTATCTGCCCAGGCCACGTCGGATCCGACGTGGCAATCTGATGTGGCAAAATTGCGACCAATTGAAAAGGTAAAAAATTAGAATCGGCCCGGTCCATTTCGGTGCTTTAGATGGGCCGAGCCCATTAATTCAGCCTTTTTACTAGGTACATGGGCCTGGCCCAACAATTTGGCCTTTTTTGTTTTCTGAGCTTCTTCCATTTTTCTGGGCCTCGGCCTTTTTGCGGTCCATTTAATTTAAAAAAAATTAAGACGTTTTTCCTTTCATTTTTTTGTCCAATATTGTTTGGGCTAAGGCCTCTTCCAGCCCATCAATATTTTCAGCCCACTAATTCAAAGGACTGGACACCAGAGAAACAGTTCAGTTTTTTTCAATTTTGCTATCAAAGCAACATTTGTTTCACTGTACAATCATACATCATTTCTTGCAGTTACATCATTTGAAGCAGTAACTAAAAGATTGTCATCTATAACAAACGACAGCCAGTCAAAAGAAAGATCACCATCACAGCTCCAGCGACTACTTATACACTACAACTTCCACTTATGTGCAAACCTACAAGAAGGCCATGCTTTCGATTAGATTTGGTTGCATCACTTCCAGTTTGCTAGTGGCATGTCTCCAACAGCATATCTCATAACCTACAAAGAGAACATAAACCAACATAAGAATTTGAAACTTCTTCTAATTTGAAACTTTCGGTAAACGGTAAACTTGAGGTAAATTAGAAGTGAGGATATCGATTACAAGCAAGATGAAACGTAAACTAAGTCCTATTGTATTGATGGATCCCAACTTGTTTAAACTAGAGAAGATTGTTCAACTTGTACAATCTAGCAGTCTAAAAAGAGAGAAAAATGTTCATTCTCGGTTCCACATTAATTAGAACAGAAATGAATCACACCAATATAAGAAAGAACTTACAACAAAGTATAGCTTAAATATAATGTTAGGCACTGATAAAGTTATGTGATTTTTACGTGACTTAATAGACACAAAATATGACTTCTGTCTCTGCTTGACTAATGAATCAATACATCTTCAAGCAAAAAATCATGAAGATCACACTACAATGTCCCTAACAACGGTAGAAGATCAAATATGCGACAATATTTCGTAATATATAAGCCTTGGCTGCAACTTTCCGCTTAACATGTAGATAAAAATCAGACACTTATTGCTTATTTCATACTTCAATTTTTACTTTAAGTTTTGTTCGCATAATCTATATGCATAGGCACAGTCCTATACTTGTTTGGAAAGTCAAGATATTCATGTCAACAATTATATAGAGCCAAACAATCATCTAAGCATACATACAGAATCCAATCGGTTATATATGTACGCAGACATTAATTTCAAGTATCTAAAGCCTGCTTTACACACGACAGTACACAAACGATTTCTCAACGATGCTAAATATCATGTCGTTCCATTCAGGACATCAGCACTGTTCCACTGTTTGATATAAGTGGCTGCTGCATGTCGTGTGTATAGTACTGTAGATTCATCTTCAGACCAATCAACGTCAACTTTTCGAAGAAAATCTGATGATAAGTTGCACCAAGATTTAGCAAGGTGCATACCTCCAAGTGGATGAGCCAGATCTAAGACCCACTCCTTGACCCTCTCCGCAGATGCTCCCATCGAAGCATACTGCACCATAACAAGCACGAAAATTTAGAAAACACACCCCAATCCTAAAATTCAGTGAAGCACGAAAAGTAGCTGCAAACTAGACAGTAGCACGCAGGCAGCGTTGCAAACAGCAAACCAAGTAATGTAATGTACACTACACGAGAAACAAACAACAAAGCAAGGCTTGACCCGGAAGGGACAGACGTGGGAGCCCTCGAGGCCCTGGAACACCCTCCGGATCTGCTCTAGCCTCCGCTCATGGTCATGCGAGGCAATAGAATTTAGTCAGAACAAACAAGCAAAGGGCGCTGAATATACTCCAAGTACTCAACTTGTTCTTACTGAATTTAGGAGTCTGTTTTTATTCTTTTCTTATATGCAGTCTGAAGCTTAACTTGTTCTAACTGAATTTAGTCAGAACAAACAAGCTAGGGCACTGCAGATCACGCACCTGAGATCAAGGGCGCTGTAGATCACGAATCAAAGCACATCTGGTCCAGTTCTCGGCACCAACTCCTCCTCCAGTTGCTACAGAAACTAAGAGCAGAAAATCAACTCGCCTACTTCAGCACAAAGAAGAAGCAAACATGCAAGCAAGAAATACTGAAATAGTACTAGTGTGATCCACATCTCAGCATCTCACTTTCAGTTTAGTTGATCCGAATCGCAAACCATTAAAGAAGAAGCAAACATGCAAACAAGAAATACTGAAGTGAAGTTTCAGTTTTATAAACTGAATTTCTAAACCGATGAAGGATGCAGCAGGCAGTAGCTGAGCAGCAAGAACCTGATGTGAAGTTTCAGTTTTAGAAACTGAATTTGTATTTTGTGAGGAATCTAGAACTCAAATTTATCTGAGATCGTAACTTTATGTTATCAATTTAAGAGCAGGTCATTTATGCATGTCAAAATGTGAGCAGAATACTCATTGATGATCTGGGTTGTGTACCAAGGTGCTAGGGGTTGGCCCCTGTACTAAAATTGTATTTAAACTTCCTCTTTTCTACTAACAGAAAGAGCAATGCTCCTGTCAATATTTTGGAAAACAAATTTGAGAGCATATCATTGATGCTGTCCATTTGTGAGCATATCGATGAATTGTAAATCATTATAAGACAGTGCATGTGGAAAATGAGATCAGTTAAACTACAACACTAAACCAACTAAACTGAATTTTGAGACCAGATTAATGAAACCATTGTAATAGAAATAATGTTTGAAGTATCTTTGCCGGTTCCCGGAAAGGCTATACAACCAAATTAGCATTGTAAATCCATCATAGATGGCCAACAATTTATCTACAAAATGCATCTAATTATAGAACTAGCAAGGAGTAGAGCAAAACTTCTATTAGGCTCTTTGTTGTGATGCATGATGTGTTCGGTTTGCTGTACTGATGCATTCCAGCGAACCTAAAAAGATGATTCTGTTCTGATATGCTGTTAGGATCTTTGTGCAAAATCAATCCAACCCACACGAGGTACAGTGCCAAATTCTATCACCAGAGAAGCAATGGCCTATCCTAGTACTAGCAAATCAACCGAGCAGAGGGGAGGAGGGGACGAGCTCACCTACGGCCAGAGAGTAAGATCCATGGCTGATGCATCCTGAGCAGCAGCCATGGTCGAGCACCCCCTCCTCAGGCGCCATCCATCCTTGCCGCCCAGTCTATCTACAACATCCTCCTGCATACCTACAGTCAAAGAACAGAGCAGAAATTAGAGAGAGAGAGAGAGATAGGAGGGGATGAAGCTCGAGTACCCCATGGCCACCGGGCAGAATAGCACCATCCAGGGGCTGGGCCGCGTGTGGGGGCGCGGCAGATGTCGGGGAGGAGCCGCTAATGTCGCCGAAGCCGTGTTGACGATTGAGGCGCCGTCGCCCTATCCACGGGGAGGGCTACGGGTGAGCGTTTGAGGCCGGGAGAGGCCAAGAGGTCTCTGAGATATTCGCGCCATTGCCGTCCTGGTGGCCGGAGACATGGCGTGCTGCGCTGCCACCGCAAACCCTAAGCAAGCCACGCCCGCGCCATGGTCCGGCCAGGTCGACGGAGCGCCGCACATCGAAGCATGCACGCGCGCACCGGTGAGCAAGCCAGCCGTGGCGCTGTTGTCGCTGGGCGGCAGCGCTGTTGTCTTTGTTGCGTGAGGAGAGGAGGTTGCTTGGTCTGGGGGAGAAGGGGCGGCAGTGGGTGGATGGATCTAAAGGGAGGAGGAGAAGAGGAGGTGGCGGCGGTGATGGATCCGATGGAAGGAGGAGACGAGGGAGAAGGGGCAGCAGTGGGTGGATGGATCTGAAGGGAGGAGGAGATGACGAGGTGGAGGCGGTGATGGATCTGATGGGAGGAGGAGACAGGGGAGAAGGGGCGGCTGCTGGGTTGATCTGCCGCACGCC